GAGGCCGCGGCTGCTCGGCGCCGTCACCTTCAACGGGCGAGAATAAACTTAACCTCGTGGTGCCCGGAGGGTTGGGCGGTTTGTTGTGACGTTTTTCCAGACACTTTATTTTTCCGATAAAAATCCCAAATGGTAATTTTTTCTCCTTTTCTACCTTACAGTTTAATAGCCTCCCACATAAAAAGTTATTATAAGGAGGATAGTGGGTATATTTAACAGTTGCTAAACTTATTTTTTTATTTAATATTGCCCATAGTGTTTAAATGCAGAGTTCCTTGTTCTAATCTTAATTTGCTGTTCAGTCGTGTTTGTCCTCTACAACTGCAAAGTACTCCATCAGTCCATAATCCTAGATAGCTTTCATTAACTGGAAAAAGTCATTTGCTCGTTTATTTTTAAAATCATGTATTTTTTTCGATAAATACTGTAAATTATGGTATATTATATTAACAACATCATAGATGAAGGCTTATTTTTCAACGAATACATTATTGCAAGAAGTATTTTTTTTTAATTGAAACATTTTCATCTGCTTAGTTGCCAGGGCCATTTTTAAATCTAAAAACTGAAACATTTGAGCTGACTATAAGCTTTCCTAACGAAAGAAAGAGCTTTAGTGAAACCCAATAATGTGGTCAAATCACATGAATAATAACCGCAGCACATCTATTAAAAACACATGACTTGTATGTCAGTCTGACAGCATTCTTAGCTCCCTTAATGTGAAGCAAGCAGAGAGTCAATCAAAAGCTAGTTCAAAGTGCTGGCGTTTCATTGCCTCCCACTAGTGTTGCAAATTTTAATTAATTCTACTTGCTCCAATATGGCTATTGCTTGCAATTTTTACATTACTGCAATATTTCTGATGTACCTGCCAGCACAATGATCTCTTTATGAGTAGAGAATACCCTTCTCTGTGATCTCTCTGCAATACTGTAAGGCAATTAACTTTACTTGTATTTCACAGATACGTTGATGATTCACCCAGATTCCAGCTTAAAGTCTACTTTCTAAATAGTTTATTAGGACCGGATATTCGTACACCTATTTGTGTTCATAAGGAGCCGCAGGCATGCAGATCACAGAAGCCAAGCAGGTACTGTCGTTACAAACACAAAAGACAGACCAATTCACTAATTGTCATGCCAAAGTACCGTCCCCCCTTTTTTTGGCTCCATAATTATTTTATGGGACCTTTTCTCACCTGCACTGTGCATTTCAGATAGAAAAATATCTAAGCACACACATACAGAGCAAAGCACAAAGGCCCAGCTTTCATGCTCAGTGTTTTCACAGTAAATACCTTCCATTGTTGCTGTGAAGCCTGGTCCCTCTGAAGTCTATAGCCTGGCATGCTAATCAGCGCTCAGATTGGTGAATTATTCTGCAGATTTCAAAGCAAGATGTATATGATTTCATTTAAGACAATATTGAATGCAATGCATTATACATTATAATTATTCAGGCTGTTTTGTACACGTCCACGTTACAATGAGGAATGTTTCTAGTTAATAGTCTTTCATCTGAGCTTTCTGGGGTGGTTAGTATTGCCACAAATTTAAAAAATACCTTCTGCTCATTGTGCGCATAGGAAGAAACGCTGCAAGATCAACTGCAATGACATAGTTCTGCAGCCGCAAATTTGGTATTCACTACTCCCAGATGAATCCACTATATTAATAGAACATACAATTTTCCTGATACCACACCAATGCTGCTGAGTCACCACATCTATTAGAAATGGATCTGTGAAACTCCCCACAGTAATTGCACAGGAGTTGTTCTGTAGATCACTTGCAACTCTTGACAGTTATTTTACAGACAGAGATTAAAATACATTTTTAAAAAGGAATCTTTGTGATCGCCACCTTAAAAGAAACTGAAACAGTCCAGACAAATCTGTGTTTCAGTATTATGTACTGAAGGACTAAGGTCACGTACTTAAACATTAAGTTCTCTTGAAGCAAGAATTGACTTTTCACTGTACGTTTGCACAGTGTCACAACGTAATACTTTTGATTATGGGTAGGAACTTCTGGACGCTACCGTAACGCGACAGAAATTGTTTTTAAAATCTTTTTTAAACCTGTGCTTGGGTTGCACTTTGTCAAATGCATGTCAGTGAGACTTGTGTCCCCTCCCCTCCAAACTTAAATTAAAGGGAGGGGGAATGAAAGCTTTAATATTTGTAGTCATTTAATATATACCATTCAAAGTGGAGAAAGAAATGAGTGTGCCTAGATGTAGCTGAACCGGGTTTTTTTAGATGTACTTTCATGAATAAGGTGGGTAGGGCTTGATAATTCTGTGAACATTGCTGGATGCAGTTTTAACTGGAGCAATTCAGATAAGCTGTATCTAATGAAGGAGTTGTATGCTACCTGACTATGTAAAGAATCGTATGTACAATGGAAATTTTTCATGCGTAGGCTTCTTCAGAGTTTTCTGCCTGAGCAGAATAGTATTCTTCAATAGTATATCTGCTCTAGCACACAAAGCTTATTTATGTGGAAGTGTAATTTGGGCTACCTCTGTCAGTTTTTTAGTAAAGTGTGCGTGCATGTAGATAAAGCATTATGAACCAGGGATCGGTTAAGACACCGCCATCAGCAGACATCTTCAGCCGAAGCATGAGAAAATAACGCGAGTTGCTGAAAAGAGAGGAGGTTTATTTTGAAAATCTTTAATAAAAGTCACATCTCATTGGACCTTTTCAGTTCTCCTCTCTGCTGGTAGGCAGACTTCTCCACAGCACTTTTTTTGCAATTCTGCCTTCAAATAAGGTAGAATTCTACCTTTATACATCCCTGAAGCAGAATGATCAAAAAGGAAA